AAGGCCCAAAAAACAGGGGGGGGGGTGTTGTGCTGCAAAACAAAAACAAAAATGCCACACCTACCCAGTCACATGGCCATGCCCCCTAGCCACGCCCCTAGCCACGCCCACAGAACCAGTAGTAAAAAAAATTTGAATCCCACCACTGCCCAGATATGATAGCCACCACACCAAGGCATACTGGGGTAGTGAGGGTTGGGGATGACTTCCCCTTCTTTTTCCTCATATGTGCATTTGATCTGATGAATACATAGAGGTTTGGCAACTGCCATTTTCATTAATGCACCAATTCATTGACTTCAAGAGCAGAGTTAGAACATAATATGGCAGGCTAATTTTGCCGACTGCCAGCTATTCGATCCTGATTATCTCAAGGTTGACTTAGCCCTGGTTGGTAAAATGAAAATCCAGACTGTTGGAGGCAATATGCTGACTCTATAAATTGCTTAGAGAGTGCTGTAAAGCACTATGAAGTACTTTAGAAGGCACCCGAAGATACCCTTCAGGTGCCTTCTTCCAGCCAGTCTGGCCTGTAGAATTTTGGAAGAAACAATCCAATTCAGATATATCAGGTCAGAGAATGCCAAACAACAGATCAGCTCACAATTGCTGCTCAGTGTACATGCATGGAAGTTTTATTCTCAACTAATATTCATTTGGAAGAAGAGGATGACCAGGATTGGGATTGAGCCAAGCAAAAAGGAAGGCTAGCATTTTTCAATGGATAACACGATGCCCTGGTAATTTGCATACACTTTCACAAAAATCAGGACAATTATAGAATTGGACAGAACCTTGGAGGATTTCTAGTCCAATCCCTTGTCCAATGCAGAATCCTCATAACCACCCTGGAAAAATGACTGTTTAATCTTTACTTGAAAACTTCAAGCATCCATGAAGCATCCATGACTTCACCAGGCAGGCTGTTCTACTATCTAATACTTCCCACAGTCAGGACATGTCTCCTGATTTCAAGTTTGGATCTCCCTTTTTAAAGCTTCCTTCCAATTGTTCTTATCTTACTCTTGGAAGCTATAGGTAAGAAATCCACACTCTCTGCCCTGTGATACCACTTCATGTATTGAAAGATTGCAATCATGACTCCCCAGAGTCTCCTATTTTGTAGACTTCACAAACCAAGTTCCTCTAACTGTCCTTTGTAGGGTTTAGCCTCTAAATCCCTTACTATCTTTGTTACTCTTCTCTGCACTTCTTCTCAGAATCCTTTTTATGTTGTGTCAACTAGAACTGAACATAGTATCCAAGGTGTGGTGTGACTAATACAGCATTCAGCAGTACTATTGCTTCATATGAACTTGATATTATATCTCTGTATTTGATGCAGTCAAAACCATGTTGACTTTTTGGCTCATACATAATCTGTGGTCCATTGGATAACTGGATCCTTCTCTGTTCTGAACCAAACCTTGTTCCAAGGAAACAAACACCAAATAGAGGTAAAAGCAAAACCTTTTAATGCTTCTCTGCGAATTCCATTCATTCACAGTTAAAAGGCTATGAAAACTAATTGTCTCTGATAAGAATGAGCCTTGCCAAGGTTGTGCAAGGCTGCCAAGAACATTAGATTAAGTTGCCAAGAAATATTCAAAACAAAAAGTCTCCAAAGAGAAACCAGGATAGTCCAAACATCCACAAGGCTTGAAGTGCAAGAACTTCTTTGCTTCTTGCAAAGAATCCCGCTCTCTCAGGCTGGCTTTTATCTCTTAAGGGAGGGGACATTACCTTGCAGCCTTACTCCCGAGTTGCCCGTGCTGCTGCAGCTGCTCTTTCCTTTGAGCAGCCTTGCACGCAGGCGCACTGGGCACAGGCTCCTCGGGGTCCTCTGCATCACTGCTGCCAGCCTCCCCAATCTCCGAAGGCAGCATTCCACTCTTTAATAGTCCTGGCCCCATCCCTGCATCACACGTAGGCCCCTCATCTGAGTCCTCTCTCTCTGAGGCTTCAGCAGTCCGCACCTGCTGCCGGCGAACCACAACATTCTCACAATATTTATTTTGAGCCAGATATTACCTATCTTGTATCTGGGCTTTTCTGACTAACTGTAGAACTTTATATTTCTCACCAGTGAACAATATTTTGTTAGATACATTTCAATATTCAAGTCAATTAAGATCCTTTGGAACCCTCAGCCAGCCTTCTGAGTGGCTAACTATCTCCCTGAGCTTCATGTCATAGGTTAATTTTATAAGCATTTCTTCTAGCCCCTCATCTAAATCACATGCCTCACTTAAATCTCAGAAATTTTCTGTATATTTTTGTTGTTTCTTGTAGAAACAAAGACAAAAGCTAATAAATCATTACCTTCTTTGTAAAGTTTTCAAAACTCTTTGTTATATTACTATTTTGGCTAGAGCAATTCTTCAACCTTAAATTACACAAGTACAGGGGAAAATATAATTTAATTTTCCACAGTTGTATAATAACAAACCTGGTAGTTAATAACAGAAACTGATTCAATTTTTATGTCACATCAATTAATGTGATTCAGGAAATATGGACAATAAACCAACCATAGGATTCATTGTGAAAGTTTGTTTTATGATTGGTGACCAATTTACTTAGCACATTGCCAACAGAATTAATGAAGATGACAATTTGTATAATTTTAGCATGCTGCCACCTATGGGTTAACTTCAGTTCTAGGTAACTTTAAAAGGAATATATAATCTTTGCTTACTATCTAGACAACAATATGTTTGCCTAGTACCATAATTGCATTATTTTGATTTGCTTGAATATATGTGTACATTTTGTTTCTCTTAGTGCCAATTAAGATCTCCACCTTTTATATCAACTAGTCCAATGTAGGATATGACTTTACAGAAGCAAAAAGAAACAGGGGTACCAGATCCAAAATACAAAATTCCAGGTAACAACTAGACGGAAGCAGAAATCTATAGAAAAACCACGTGATTGACCAGATTGTTAAGCCCAGACATGATAGCCCGACAAAATCTCCAGGGAAGAGAAGCTATAGGGAAGTAAACTGTAACCCAAAAGGGCCTTTTGCTTTAAGAATAATAGCTGGCTCTCTGTTTCTGCCTTCCTGTATGCATTTCGAATATGATACCAGGTTTGGCTAAATTCCATGCCAATCCTTGGAGACTTCTTGGTTCTTGACAGTTTCCAACCACAAAGCTGCTCCATTGATGGAGCAGATGGCAAATAGACTGATTGGCATAAGTACATTAAAAGAACTGTCAGCAGGAATAGGTCATAAAGAAGGAAAGATATCAGTTCAGCTCAGTTAACAAATTAAGGGAATAATAAGAAGACAGAGTATGGGCTTAAAAACTTTAGACCATCTCTTTTCCACTGAGCTTGACAACTTTAAGTGCAAAAGAGAGCAGCTTGCATTCCCTTCTCAAGAGATTAGGCAGCAGAAGGAGTGAGTGGGAGGTCAGTCATCCTAACCTGGGAACAGCTGTGCTGTGAATTGCTCTAAACTGGGACAGACTGAGGAAACAAGGCCCTCTTGAAACACATTGGGTTCATGGGAAAACATATTTTCCTCAACATCCTAACAGTTTTAAGAGAAACAAGTCTGTAGTGGGATAGGATGGCAGAAATGAATACTGAATGGCCTTGTTAGGAGTCTGAGCGATTATTCTGCAGTTTTTCAAAATACAATTTTAGAAGGTGTGTATTCAATCATGTGATTTCTTTGTCTAGTACCATAATTTATAGAAAAGCACATGATTCCTTGCCAAATATGTTGATACTGCTCATACTACACTGTTAAGTTAGTGGCCAGAATGGGCAGGTGACTGTTTATGGAGGAAACAACAGATGGCACTCCCCACTCACCTCCAAAGTAACTTCAAAGTGTGTTTCCCAAATCTAGTTCAAAGAACATTTTTCTGTTTTGTTGTCTCAAATGCTCCTGCCTTAACTGTATCTTATTTTGTAACTAGGAGCTAGGCACCAGATCCAGTTTAAATTACATGCTATACAAGCTTGTTGTGAGATAAAAAGCAGAAGTAGAAAACATTGGTTGCCACCCTAAGTTCTTTAAGACAACAATACATTTGGTTCTTGATGTCAGAAAAAGCAATGTTCTGCTATATCATGCAAACTAATGGCAGCAAAGAAGATGATAACTATAAACTTTATTAGAGGCAAGCAGCATAAAATATGGATGACAGAATTATTGATGAATTGATTTGCAAATCTGAGGTGACAATGAAGTGAACATTTTTAATGTGATTAACTACTCTTATTTCTAACTGACTAATTAATTAACCAGAAGGAATATATGAATACTTTTTAAACCATATTTTCAGAACGCTTAATAGTAAGTTTGCTTGACTAAAATAAATTTTTAAAAGCCACACAGACAATTTGATTCTTATTTAGAAAATTACCTTGATCACATATGTGCAATGCAAGTCAAGGCTTCAAATGTATTCCTGATATTTACCATGCATTCTGTTTTCTTAGATGTTGGCCCAGAATTGGGTTTTTTGGCTTGCTAACAGTGCAAGAGAGAAGGGGACAGCCTTTTCACCAGCATGTGATGAGTGTATCTAGGGTAGAAGTAGTAAACTATGGCCCACCAGATGCTGTTTGACTCCATATTCCATCAGCCTAAACTAGTATGGCTGATGGCTAAAGATGATGAGAAATGTTATGTACAGACACCCGGAGGGTCTACCCAATCTTGCTTTGAGTGCCATCAATGAATACCAGTAAATTTGGGTTTAACAAAGTTTAGAATACGATGGAAGTCCCAAAGGTGCTTTTTCAAGAGGCAATTGGACTTTTTTTTACCATAAAGTCCAGTTGCCTCTTGAAAAAGCACCTTTGTGACAACCATGACCTAGATGACTGAGAATCTCCATAGACAATAAGATGGAAGAGTAATGAGAAAACTGTGCTATTTTATACTGACAATTTTCTTTCTAAAAAGATATCCAGTGCCAAGGTTGGAACAAATCTTTTGCTAATAAGAATTTTCAAGAGTCATTTTAGCATCTTACCATTGCTGGATTTAACATCCTTCAGAGAATCAGGTGTTGACAGTCTGCAAATTGGAAATGGGCAAAAGACCACAGCAAACTTTTGTTCTAAAGTGAAACTCTGTTGATTGTAGTCTTTAAAAAATAAACTGTGGATAATGGAAAAAAAACCCCAAAGGAATTCTTAAGCACTATAGGAAGCAGCCGTACAATCTGTCAAATTAATATTACCATTTTTCAACACTTGTATTACTTGTTTACATAGTAATGCTGTGTATAATGACTTCAGGGTGCAGGGTTGCCTGTATCAGCAAACTCAAGTTTTAGGTTCTGTCTGAAATGGAATCAAAATAAAGCCACCAAGAAATAAAAGGGAAGTATTAATAAGGGGTTCATGAAGTTTACAGAATTTGGGAAGAAAACTCTCAGCTTTCTTTCCTATGCTTCAATAGTCCAAAGAGGAGATTAGGAGCAAAACTGTTCAGGTGTGAACTATTTGCAGCATTTCTCAAAATAAAGCAACCACATTTCAAGAGATTGCATTTAGAATGGAACAAAATATGCTGTCTGTTTTAAGTATTTTGCTTTGAATGTTAAGAATTCATCACTGTTTCAAAGCAAAATATAAACCACATGCATACATCCAACTCCTATTAACTAAGGCCCAAAAGAATGGCTTGAGCAATGTTTTTGATTTTATTCCAAAAAAGATGGTCTAGAATGCTCAGAGGTACAGCAAATGTAGCATCTGTTTGACACTTTTTAAGACAAGGATATAGTTTCCCTGGAACCTTGCAGCTGCAAAATGACAACCATACATTTCAAGGAAAAGACATGACTCCTTATGACTTAGGAAGGAGAAGTGATAATGTTTTAATGGCAGATTACCATATATTATCTCAAACCTACTCTAATCAAATGATGCAGCTGAGGTTCTTTCTCCCTGTCTGAAGACTGTGAGGATCTAGATTGGGAAGAAGAGGTTCAGAACTTCAGATCCTAGCAAGATCAGATGCTTTAGATTTTGTAGACACTGGGTCCATCATTGATTCTTGAAGGTATTGCTCCACCCCCAACAGTATCAGTGCACAACACTGGGATCTTCCTAGATGTAAGGGTCCTGCATGAAGAGCAGATGACAGCTATGGCTTGGAGGGTTTTTGCACAAATAGATCTTGTACACCAGTGTATGAATTCTTGGGATGTTCTACACACCATCATTCATGCCTCGATCACCTCTGGATCACTACAGCTGGTTGTTTACAAGAGACAGAAAGTTGCAGACACATATACTAAAAACATTAGGAGAATAAGAGGTAATAGTAGTGATTAGGATATCTGTTGCTCTTTCCTCTTCCCCATGTCTTGCCATCCATTCAAAGGGTTGCAATTGGGGGAACCGATTGCAAAGGTTACTCTGATTTGTGGTTGGATCTGCTGATTGCTGAATCCAGTATTCTCCTTTCATTCCTACCATTACATTACAAGCATGTGGGATTTATTTGTTTGGCAAGTGCTGGCAGCTTTAACTTACCCTCCTTTTTTGATGCACAGTGCAGCTGAGCTACTGAGATCCTAAATTACATATTGGAGGCCAAGCTCAATGGAGAATTTTAAATTAGACAGTGGACAAATTATACATTCTGTTCATTGTCAAGTGAGATTAAGAAACAGCTTGTATTATCTCATTCTACACTGGATTTGTGCTTTGCATTGAATTAGAGTCCAGAACCTATTTCCCGTCCCAGGCTGGTACCTATGTATGACCTCCCAGGGGTTTTAACATGGTTTTAAAACTTTATATTAATATTTTATACTGCTCCTGTGTTATAGCAGTTAGGATGTCTTTAGCCTTTAAGAGGTTGTTATTTTATAGCTCAAGATGTGATCAGTTTATAACATCCTTTTCCAGCCTATTGCCTTCTGGCTCCAGAATCACTGGATTTCATCTCTCATAATCCTCAAGTCTCATTTGGTTCTTCAGGTTTTTAGACTTGTGTCTTCTGTGATATAGATATAGGTTTTGCTTGTGTTCAAATGATGCCTTATTAGAGGCCTCTTGGGTAAAGAATAGGAAGGTCCAAGCTGATCGCCCTGTGATGAGGTTCCATGCAGAAAAGCCAACCAAGCCTGGTGGGGGGAAGGTTTCCACAAGCCTAAGTCCTATACCTGCAATAAATCTGTTTTCTTTTTATGTTGTACAGGTCACCTTCAAGAAGTGAGGGGAGCCGAATGTCAACTCATAAAATATTTCTCTGGTCTTTTAGAGTTGCCCACAGAAAGGGAGGAGGGAGTAGTGTAGCAGCTTGCAAAACCGAAACTGCATTCCATAGATGTTTTCAGTTTCCAGGCAACCGAAGTTTCTGCCATGCAAAATTCTAACTAAAGAGTATGATTGATGACTCTTGGCTATGGATGTGTCCCATTGGAGTATATGAATTATGATACGCCTGGGGGGTGGGGGAAAACCATGGTCAAGGGTGACAGTGAATGATGTGTCTCAGAGTCAGCTACATCCAGGCACCCCAGCATGTCTTCTCCTAATAAATCTTTGAGCTTTGAAAATCAGGCTAGAGACTCATGATTTAAATGGGGGTCAATACAGGAGCCCTGACATTATATTTGTTACCCAAAGAACAAGTTACAGGGTAGCTACAATTATTCAGTCAAAAACACGATGCCAGGTGAATCTCACAGCCAAACTCAGTGATGACATATGCCTTCTGCTGCACCGCATAATCTGCAGTGCACAATCTCATAACTCCTGCTCAACGAGCAGGTGGCAATCGTGGTTAGGAGACCCTTTGCACAACTTAATGTTGTGTGCCAGTTGTATCCTTTCCTGGATTGGGAGTCCCTGAGCTCAAATACCTCAAACCCTGGTCATCTTACACTTGGACTATGCAATGTGCTCTAAATGGGGCTACAGCCTTGAAGAGTATCTGGAAGTTGTAGTTGGTGCAGAGCACAGTTGCATGGGATATCTTGGGGCCCTTAGAATGGCCCATTTATATCACTGTTCCCTGAGGTGCACCGCTGCCACTTTGTTCCCGAGTCCAATTAAAGGTGTTGGTTATCATCTTTAAAGTCATTCATGGCATGGGTCCAGGCTATCTGAAAAACTGGCTTGCCCCAGTGGGATTAGTCCACTCCATTCATGCTGGAAGAAGGGGCATGCTATGGACCCCATCAGCCAAGGAATTTCAGTTGGCAGAATACAGAAGAGCTTTTTATGCTATGGCTCCAACTCTCTTCCCCCCCGAGGTCTGATCTGTTCCCATGCTTTTGGCCTCCTGAAAGGCCGTGAAGACATGGCTACACCAATTAGCCTGGGGTCCTAATGGGGGTATGGCATATTGGAGGTAGCTAATGGATTAGAGAACATCCCATCAGCTTCCTGGGTGCCCTTTGCTGCCTCTCTTTTCATACTGGTTAGTAAACAGAGTTGTAGAAGTTTATAAACTTTGGATCTGTTTTGCAAGGGAGATGGAATATACAATTGGTGAAATAAATGTATCAGTATTCAACAGGGGGGTGACAATTAATGTGCATGTGTTTTTATGCATTTTTTTCTTGTCTTTTTTTTGGAGTTTGTATTTTAATTTTGGGAATAAAATAAAAAAGTTGAGAGAGGGAGGGAGAGGGAGGAAGAAAATTATGTTAAAGGAGGTGACAGATTGATCCTTTTTTCATAGCTGGCTTTGGAAAGCAAACAAAAACAACAATAACAAACAAACAATCACATTGTATAAATTCAGGAGGGATTTTTCCCTCACAAGGAAAATGATGGGAGAATTAATTTTCCTTCCTCCTTTGCATAATTGTCTTGATCAGGTTGCCGTGAAGTAGGAAGTAATGCAGTTTGTTACAAATTGTATGCATTATTTATGTTAGCTCTTCTAACTCCAATAGCTGTCAGAATATTTTGGACCAAATTGGGTAATATCTGTCCTAGCTCTTATCTCCACCACTTAAAAAGTAAAAGCAGAAGAAAAAATGGAAATAGGGATGCCTTTTATATTTGCAAAATGTGTCTATATCTTAATTTGATTATGACTCTAAAGCCCTACATGGCATGGGACCAGTTACCTGAGGAACCACCTCATCCACATCACATTGTCCCATTCCACCTGGACAGGCAGAGAAGATATTTTATGGACTCCATCAGTTAAAGAATTTCAACTGGCGACTTCTGGTTTGAGCTTCTTTGGCAACAGACCGAAACCTCGTCTCTGTGAGGCTTCGATCCGTGCTCGCCACTGGAGCACCCCGAGCTGGCTGGTTTCGGGGCTAAGCCACCCCGTAGAGGTGGTGAAGAGGGGGGAGACTGCCTGTAGGGTTGAGGAGAGCCGCATCTCTCCTCCTCAGCTGGCCATTACTCCCTTTCCCGAAGGCGGTTGGAGCGGTGGTCAGAAATGGCCACCACAAAGAAGAACTCGACCGGAAAAGAATGTGCAGGAGGAAGATAAGAAGAGAAAGTTTTGGTTAACTGGGTCAAACAGCAAAAGCAACAAGTAAGGTACCCTGGAATTGAAACTATTAAAAAAAAAACAATAACATTGTTCCCTAAGAAGATTTTTAAGCTGAGAAGGAGAGAGAAAAAGGAAAAGATTTGGTTTTTTTTTCTCCTTTTCCTATACTGACAGCTAAGAGACTTAAGCAAGAAATTGGAAGAAAATCCACTTTGACATTAATAGGCATTTAATGCTGAAAATAAAAAGTCAAAGGGATAATAAAGATTTCTGGATAATCAAAAGCTTTTGAAAACAGGAAAGGAGAGAAAAAGAATAAAAGGGCAGGATCTGGAAGGGAGGAGATTGCCCGGAATTAAAAAGAACTTACAGCAAAATCTCAACAAGACTTCCAAAAGATACATTCTAACTGAAATATTGCAACAAAAACCCCAGGAAGAGAAAGTGGAAAAAGAAATAAGAAGAAATAACTCAGGACTATTTGGATTACTTGATGATTTCTGGATTTTTGGTTATTGTATTTGAATGACTAAAATCAATCGGGTGGTTGTTTAAAACTGTTTAAAATGGCTCCACTTTTAGAAGAACTGAAAATGGAACTTAAAAAGTACAAAGAAGATGCACAAGAAGGGAGAGGTTCTTTTGGCTTCGTAATTCAGTTTTTAGAAATGGAGATT